AACATTTCGTATTAGTAATAGTATATTATTGTATATTATTCATTGTTTCTTATTAGTGTTAATAGTATATTTATTATATTAGCGTTAGTATGCTATTATTATGTATTGTTATTATGTATCATTATTATATTAGTATTCATATTAGTATACTATTATGTATTATTATTTATTATATTTGTATTCGTGTTAGTATACTATTATGCATTATTATTATATTAGTATTTATGTTAGCATACTATTATTATGCATTTTTATTATATTAGTATGCTATTATTATGTGTTATATTACTATTTGTTAGTATACTATTATTATTATTATTATTAATTGTATTAGTATTTGTTAGTATACTATTATTATGTATTATTATTTTTGTATTAGTATTTGTGTTAGAATATTATTATGTATTATTTATCACTATTATATTAGTATTAGTATACTATTATTATGTATTATTTATCATTATTATTTTAGTATTAGTGTTAGCATACAATTATTATGTATTGTTATGATTTATCATTATTATATTAGTATTCATGTTAATACATGAATATTATGTATCATTTATCATTATATTATGTTTTACTATTATCATTATTATATTAGTATTGTGTTAGTATACTACTATTATGTATTGTTATTATTTATCATTATTATATTAGTATTAGTATACTATTATTATGTATTGTTATTATGTATCATTATTATATTAGTATTCATATTAGTATATTATTGCGTATTGTTATTATTTCTCATTATTATATTAGTATCCGTATTAGTATACTATTATTACGTATTGTTATTTATCATTATATTAGTATTTCTGTTAGCATAGTATTATTATGTATTGTTATTGTTTATCATTATTATATTAGTATTCGTATTAGTATACTATTATTATGTATTGTTATTATTTATCATTATATTAGTATTTGTATTAGTATACTATTATTACGTATTGTTATTTCTCATTATATCAGTATTCATGTTAGCATACTATTATGTATTGTTATTATTTATCATTATTGTTAGTATTTGTATTAGTATACTATTATTATGTATTATTTATTATTATATCATTATTCGTGTTAGCATACTATTATTATGTATTGTTATTATTTAACATTATTATATTAGTATTCATGTTAATACTCAAATATTATGTATTATTTATCATTATATTATGAATTGTTACTATCATCATTATATTAGTATTCATGTTAGTATACTATTGTGTATTGTTATTATTTATCATATTAGTATTCGTATTAGTATACTATTATTATGTATTATTTATCATTATATCAGTATTCGTGTCAGTATACTATTATTATGTATTGTTATTATTAGTATTAGTATTTTATTATTACTATCAGGTTGCACTTTCACCGTCCTGGTCCACACCCGGGAAGCCGCGACCCGCAACATGGAGAAGATCCAAGTCATCAAGGTGAGAAAACAACATTTTATTAATTCCAGGATTAGAAACTCGATATAATGTATTAATGTCGACTCCTACAAACGAACGATCGCATGGCCAGAAATGTATATATTGCGGAAACACACACACACACAGAGGAGAGGGTGGTCTAGATGGCCTTTAGGGTTCCCGTTTGATCCCTTGATGTCTGTTATTTGGACCCATAAAGGATTTCCCTTGGATCCTGGCCGACGAGCAGGACGTCCACATGCGCGACCCGCGCCTGATCCCATTGAAGACCATGACGTCGGACCTGTTGAAGGTGAGCCGTTGCATCCTGGCATCTCCATACAACTTATAGTTGACTAAGTACCAGATCTCGAGTGGTGTCCCTTACTTTGGAGTTGATTTCCCATATTGTTTCCTCCAAATAGATGCAGCTGTACGTCGAAGAGAGGGCTCAGAAAGGGACCTGATTGAGCCGCATGACGAGCATCCCTTCGTAATTTTCGGAAAGTGCTTGTAATTGGAAACAGCGAGGATTCAAAACCAAGATGTTGTTGTTGTTATTTTTTCTTACGGGGTTTCGAAGCTTGAATCCAATATATATGTGACTTTGTTTGCATTGGTGGCGATCAATACATCTGGCTCAGAAAGGGACCCAATCGAGTCGCACGACGATCATCTCTTCGTAATTTTCGGAAAGTGCTCGTAATCGGAACCACGAGCATCCCTTCGTAATTTTCAGAAAGTGCTCGTAATCGGAAACATCGAGGATACAATTCAAACCCAGGATTCTGCTGTTGTTGTTATTTTTTCTTATGGGGTTTTGAGCCTTGAATCCAATATATATGTGACTTTGTTTGCATTGGTGGCGATCAATACATCGGGCTCAGAAAGGGACCTGATCGAGCCGCATGACGAGCATCCCTTCGTAATTTTCAGAAAGTGCTCGTAATCGGAATCAGCGAGGATTCAAAACCAGGATGTTGTTGTTGTTGTTTTTCCCTATGGGATTTTGAGCCTTGAATCCAATATATATGTGACTTTGTTTGCATTGGTGGCGATCAATACATCAGGCTCAGAAAGGGACCCGATCGAGTCATGCGACGAGCATCTCTTCGTAATTTTCGGAAAGTGCTCGTAATCGGAATCAGCGAGGATTCAAAACCAAGATGTTGTTGTTGTTGTTTTTCCTTATAGGGTTTCGAACCTTGATTCCAATATATATGTGACTTTGTTTGCATTGGTGGCGATCAGTACATCGGGTTCAGAAAGGGACCTGATCGAGCCGCAGGACGAGCATGCCTTCGTAATTTTCGGAAAGTGCTCGTAATCTGAATCAGCGAGGATTCAAAACCAAGTTGTTGTTGTTGTTGTTTTTCCCTATGGGATTTCGAACCTTGAATTCTATATATGTGTGACTTTGTTAGTATTGGTGGCGATCAATACATCAGGCTCAGAAGGGGACCCGATCAAGTCACGCGACGAGCATCCCTTCGTAATTTTCGGAAAGTGCTCGTAATCGGAACCAGCTAGGACACGATTCAAACCCAGGATGATGCTGTTGTTGTTGTTTTTCCCTATGGGGTTTCGAGCCTTAAATCCTACTTATATGTGACTTAGTTTGCATCGGTAGCGATCAATACATCGGTTTATTGATATTACATAAGTCTCCAAAGCTTTCCGTTCTTTCCATTGGTGCCTTTCCCGTCTGTTTTGATTCCTCAAAGAAGGACCTATCACGGATTGCACCAGGAGTGTGAAAAGGGGGGAAACACACCGTTTTGGATAGAGATACGAGCAAGGCATGGGGGGATCACGGGGCCACTTCGGGGCCGATGGAGAGGCGGGAGTTGGTGACGCGGACCCCGTACCACCCGGCCCAGAACTGCGTATCGCAGCCTCCGTGGCGGAAGAGCACGTGGCGCACGCCGGGGGGGTAGTCGTGGAATGTGTGCGAGGCCTGCGGGGAAGGAAGCCAGAGAGTCAGCCCATTGCAATCTCTTTTGGGTAATAGTAGTAATAACAATAACAAAAATAGTAGTAATAACAACATTAATAGCAATAGTAGTAATAATAGTATTAATATTGTGGTGCATGCCGGGAGCGTAGTCGTGGAAAGCGTGCGTGCGAGGCCTGCGGGGAGGGAAGCCAGAGAGTCAGCCCATTGCAATCCTTTTTAGATAATAGTAGTAGTAATAATAATAGCAATAGTAGTAATAATTGGAGTATTAATATCAATAAGACGTGGTGCATGCCGGGAGGATAGCCGCAGAAAGCGGAGGCCTGCAGGAAGAGAAGCCAGAGAGTCAGCTCACTGCAATCTCCTTTGGATAATAGTAGTAATAACAATAACAATAGTAGCAATAGTAGTAACAACAACAACAATAATAGCAATAGTAGTAATAATAGGAGTATTAATATCAATAAGATGTGGTGCATGCCGGGAGGGTAGCCACGGAAAATGTGAGAGGCCTGCGGGGAGAGAAGCCAGAGAGTCAGCCCATTGCAATCCCTTTTGGATAATAGTAGTAGTAGTAATAATAATAGCAATAGTAATAATAATAGTATTAATATCAATAAGACGTGCATGCTGGGAGGGTAGCCACGGAAAATGTGAGAGGCCTGCAGGGAGAGAAGCCAGAGAGTCAGCTCACTGCAATCTCCTTTGGATAATAGTAGTAATAACAATAACAATAGTAGCAATAGTAGTAACAACAACAACAATAATAGCAATAGTAGTAATAATAGGAGTATTAATATCAATAAGATGTGGTGCATGCCGGGAGGGTAGCCATGGAAAATGTGAGAGGCCTGCGGGGAGAGAAGCCAGAGAGTCAGCTCATTGCAATCTCCTTTGGGTAGTAGTAATAATAATAGCAATAGTAGTAATAATAAGAGTATTAATATCAATAACAGGTGGTGCCTGCCGGGAGGGTAGTCAAGGAAAGCGTGTGAGGCCTGCGGGGAGGGAAGCCAGAGAGTCAGCCCATTGCAATTTTCTTGGGTAATAGTAGTAATAATAATAGCAATGGTAGTAGTAATAGGAATATTATTATCATTAAGGCATGGTGCATGCTGGGAGGGTAGTCGTGGAAAGCGTGCGAGGCCTGCGTGGAGGGAAGCCAGACAGTCAGCCCATTGCAATCTCCTTTGGATAATAGTAGTAATAACAACAATAGTAGCAATAGTAGTAACAACAACAACAATAATAGCAATAGTAGTAATAATAGGAGTATTAATATCAATAAGACGTGGTGCATGACGGGAGGGTAGCCATGGAAAATGTGAGATGCCTGCGGGGAGGGAAGCCAGAGAGTCAGCCCATTGCAATCTCCTTTAGATAATAGTAGTAATAATAATAGCAATAGTATTAATAGGAGTATTAGTAATAATAGGAGTATTAATATCAATAAGACGTGGTGCATGCTGGGAGCCACAGAAAATGTGGGAGGCCTGTGGGGAGAGAAGCCAGAGAGTCAGCTCACTGCAATCTCCTTTGGGTAGTAGTAGTAGTAGTAATAATAATACCAATAGTAATAGTAATAGTATTAATAGCAATAAGACATGGTGCACGACGAGAGGGTAGATGCGGAAAGTGTGTGAGGGAGGGAAGCCGGAGAGCCAGCCCATTGCAATCTCCTTTGGGTTGTAATAGCAATAATAGTAATATTAGTAATAATAATAGCAGTATTAGTAGCAATAAGAAATGGTGCATGCTGGGAGGGTAGTTGTGAAAAGTGTTCGAGGCCTGCGGGAAGGGAAGCCAAAGAATCAGCCCCTTGCAATCTCCTTTGCGCAATAATAATAATAATAATAATAGTGAAAGTAGCAATACTTGTAGTAACAATACTACAGTAACAATACTGCAGCAGTAGCAGCACTAGTAATAACTATCACTATTATTATTATTGCTATTATTATCACTATCGCTCACATTATTGCTATTTTACTACTAGTATTATCATCGGTACTACTGTTGCTGCTATTGCTACTGCTATTACTATCACCGCTATAGTAATAACAATAGCGATAATAGTAATAGCAGTAGCAATAGCAGCAGCAGTAGTACTGATGAGAATACTAGTAGGAAAAATAGCAATAATGTGAGCAATAGTGATAATAATAGTAATAATAGTGCTGTTGCTGCTATTGCTACTGCTATTACTATCACCGCTATAGTAATAACAATAGCGGTAATAGTAATAGCAGTAGCAATAGCAGCAACAGTAGTACCGGTGAAAATACTAGTAGTAAAAATAGCAATAATGTGAGCGATAGTGATAATAATAGTAATAATAGTGCTGTTGCTGCTATTGCTACTGCTATTACTATCACCGCTATAGTAATAACAATAGCGGTAATAGTAATAGCAGTAGCAATAGCAGCAACAGTAGTACCGGTGAGAATACTAGTAGTAAAAATAGCAATAATGTGAGCGATAGTGATAATAATAGTAATAATAGTGCTGTTGCTGCTATTGCTACTGCTATTACTATCACCGCTATAGTAATAACAATAGCGGTAATAGTAATAGCAGTAGCAATAGCAGCAACAGTAGTACCGGTGAGAATACTAGTAGTAAAAATAGCAATAATGTGAGTGATAGTGATAATAATAGTAATAATAGTGCTGTTGCTGCTATTGCTACTGCTATTACTATCACCGCTATAGTAATAACAATAGCGGTAATAGTAATAGCAGTAGCAATAGCAGCAACAGTAGTACCGGTGAGAATACTAGTAGTAAAAATAGCAATAATGTGAGTAATAGTGGTAACAATAGTAGTAACAATAGTGATAGTGGCAATCACAGCTAGTAGCAATAGTGGTAGTAGCAGTAGCAACATAATAGCAATAACATTAGTAGTAATGGCAACAATAGGCAATAGTACTAGCAGTAGCAGTAGCAACGTAATAGCAATAACATTAGTAGTAATGGCAACAATAGGCAATAGTACTAGCAATAGCAGTAGCAATGCTAGTAATAATAACAGCAATAGCAGTAGTAACTGTAATATAATTACTACTACTACTAGTAGTAGCAGTAGCAACAGCAGCAATAATAGTAATAGCAATAATACTGGTAGTAGCGATGGCAATAATAAAAATAAAATGCTAGTAATAATAGGAATAGTGGCAATACCAGTAGTAGCAATAATTGCAACCAGTAGCAATAATGGGAGGAGGTGTTACCTGCCGCCACTCGGCGTCGCTCCATTGCTCAATGACGACGTCTTCCGGGCAGAACTCTTGCAAGACGATGTAGTCGGCGGAGAGAAGCTGGACGCAGAGCTGGTAGCGGCATCCGCAGTCGTAGCGGGCGGCGAACCTGGCGGGGTCGGCGTTGGGGACAAGGAGTCACTCAGTGGGGTCCTCTCTTCACTCAGGGCTCTCGGAGGGCAGAAGGGGATTGGACTAGATGCCCTTTGGGAGGCCCCTTCCAGCTCTAGGGTGGTATTATTATTATTAGTAGTATTATTAGTATTATTATTATTATTGTATACTAGCTGTCCCCTGCCACGCACTGCTGTGGCCCAGTCTGTGCCTATGTGTTTTGTGTGTGTATATATGCGTTTATGTGTGCGTATATATTTGTGTATATATGTGTGCATAAGTGTGTGTATATATTTGTGTATTTGTGTGTTTAAATGTGTATACGTATATTGTATATATGTGTGTGCATGTGTATATGCATATATGTGTGTATGTATGTGCGAATGTATGTGTGCATGTGTATATGAGTGTATGTGTATATGTATATATGCATGTATATGTGTATATTTGTGTGTGCTTGTGTATAATGTGTGTATGTGCATGTATATATGTATGTGAGTGTATATGTACATGTATATATGTGTGTATATGTGTATATTTGTGTGTGCATGTGTATAGGTATATATGTGTGTGTATGTGTACGTGTGTGCATGTGTATAGGTATATATGTGTGTGTATGTGTATATACGTGTGTGTGCATGTATATGTATATATTAGTTTTCGTGCATATATGTATATGAGTGTATGTGTATGTATATATGTGTGTGTGCTTGTGTATATATATGTGTATATAGTGTGCATGTATATATGTATATGAGTGTATGTGTATGTATATGTGTGTGTACATGTGTTTATATTGTGTGCATGTGTATAGGTATATATGTGTGTATGTGTATATTTGTGTGTGCTTGTGTATATAGGTGTGTGTATGTGTGCATGTATATATGTATGAGTGTATATGTATATGCATATATGTGTGTATATGTGTTTGTGTGTGCATGTGTATAGGTATATATGTGTGTGTATGTGTATATTTGTGTGTGCTTGTGTATAGGTATATATGTGTGTGTATGCATATATGTGCGTGTGAGTGTATATATGTGTGCATGTATATATATGTATATGAGTGTGTGTATATGTATATATATGTGTGTGTATATGTGTGTGTGCTTGTGTATATATGTGTGTGTATGTGTGCATGTATATATGTATATGAGTGTATGTGTGTATATGTGTGTGTATATGTGTTTATTTGTGTGTGCATGTGTATAGGTATATATGTGTGTGTATGTGTATATTTGTGTGTGCTTGTGTATAGGTATATATGTGTGTGTATGCATATATGTGCGTGTGGTGTATATATGTGTGTGTATGTGTGCATGTATATGAGTGTATGTGTATATGTATATATGTGTATTTGTATATTTGTGTGTGCTTGTGTATGGTGTGTGTATATGTATATTTGTGTGTGCTTGTGTATATATGTGTGTGCATGTGTGCATGTATATATGTATATGTCTGTATGTATATATGGTATATTTCGTTTATTCCGCTAGAGTTTTTTTTTGTGTTTTTCGTTTCCTCCCACAAACGAACATAACATTTATATACACACACACACACACACATATATATATATTACTAATGTACTACTATTATTATTAGCAGAGCTTGGATGACCCTTTTTGGGAGGGCTTTGACTGTGTCCTCCTGCCTGGCAGAAAGAGGGTAGACTAGATGCCCTTTGGGGTCCCTTTCAGTGGAGTCTCTTTCCTTCTCTGGAGGGGGTTTTGAACTGAGGTTGGATGGCCATCTCTCGGGAGGGGTCGGATTGTGTATTCCGGTTTAACTGAAGGAGGTTAGACTGGATGCCCTTTGGAGGCCCCACGGGCTCATAGAGGGCCCCTAAATGCCCCGACTCACCAGTCCTCGACCACGATGTCCGGCTTGACTTGGTCCATCAACTGATCCCAGTAACCTTCTTTCTTCAAGGTGATCATCTGGCTCTTGATGCAGGAGCTGAGCCGTTACGGATTGCAGTCAGAACTGTTATGACGCACTTAAGCCCCCGCCCCTAATAGGGGATTTGTAGGGGATCTATAGTATATCTCATATCCCAACTCACTCGAAGGATGTGACGAAGTACTTCTGAACATGCGGGTGAGGGAATCCGTGTCCGTGATCCCCGGGGAGGGCCTCGATTTTCCATTCGTCACCGCCATTCTCGTCTTTCCTCCAGCAACTAAAACCGTCTACACAGAAGTAAAAAATTTAAAAATAATTATTCAGAAAACCTTAATTATAAGGTTACATATAAATTTATTTGAAATCATAATTAAATTATGTTAAATTATGTTGATTCTTGGAGCAGTTACGCTACTCTGACAAGATGGAAGCAAAAAAGTTCCAAAAGACAGTGTTGACAGCTAGGAAGTGTGCAATTGCGTTGCACACTTCCTAGCTGCTCTGACAAGATGGAAGCAAAAAAGTTCCAACAGACAATTGGGTTGCACCCTTCCTAGCTGCTCTGACAAGATGGAAGCAAAAAAGTTCCAACAGACAATTGGGTTGCACCCTTCCTAGCTGCTCTGACAAGATGGAAGCAAAAAAGTTCCAACAGACAATTGGGTTGCACCCTTCCTAGCTGCTCTGACAAGATGGAAGCAAAAAAGTTCCAAAAGACAATTGGGTTGCACCCTTCCTAGCTGCTCTGACAAGATGGAAGCAAAAAAGTTCCAAAACACAATTCAGTTGCACACTTCCTAGCTGCTCTGACAAGATGGAAGCAAAAAAGTTCCAAAAGACAATTGGGTTGCACCCTTCCTAGCTGCTCTGACAAGATGGAAGCAAAAAAGTTCCAAAAGACAATTGGGTTGCACACTTCCTAGCTGCTCTGACAAGATGGAAGCAAAAAAGTTCCAAAACACAATTCAGTTGCACACTTCCTAGCTGCTCTGACAAGATGGAAGCAAAAAAGTTCCAAAAGACAATTGGGTTGCACACTTCCTAGCTGCTCTGACAAGATGGAAGCAAAAATGTTCCAAAAGACAATTGGGTTGCACCCTTCCTAGCTGCTCTGACAAGATGGAAGCAAAAAAGTTCCAAAAGACAATTGGGTTGCACCCTTCCTAGCTGCTCTGACAAGATGGAAGCAAAAAAGTTCCAAAAGACAATTGGGTTGCACCCTTCCTAGCTGCTCTGACAAGATGGAAGCAAAAAAGTTCCAAAACACAATTCAGTTGCACACTTCCTAGCTGCTCTGACAAGATGGAAGCAAAAAAGTTCCAAAAGACAATTGGGTTGCACACTTCCTAGCTGCTCTGACAAGATGGAAGCAAAAAAGTTCCAAAACACAATTCAGTTGCACACTTCCTAGCTGCTCTGACAAGATGGAAGCAAAAAAGTTCCAAAAGACAATTGGGTTGCACACTTCCTAGCTGCTCTGACAAGATGGAAGCAAAAAAGTTCCAAAAGACAATTGGGTTGCACCCTTCCTAGCTGCTCTGACAAGATGGAAGCAAAAAAGTTCCAAAAGACAATTGGGTTGCACCCTTCCTAGCTGCTCTGACAAGATGGAAGCAAAAATGTTCCAAAAGACAATTGGGTTGCACCCTTCCTAGCTGCTCTGACAAGATGGAAGCAAAAAAGTTCCAAAAGACAATTGGGTTGCACCCTTCCTAGCTGCTCTGACAAGATGGAAGCAAAAAAGTTCCAAAACACAATTCAGTTGCACACTTCCTAGCTGCTCTGACAAGATGGAAGCAAAAATGTTCCAAAATACAATTGGGTTGCACACTTCCTAGCTGCTCTGACAAGATGGAAGCAAAAATGTTCCAAAAGACAATTGGGTTGCACCCTTCCTAGCTGCTCTGACAAGATGGAAGCAAAAAAGTTCCAAAAGACAATTGGGTTGCACCCTTCCTAGCTGCTCTGACAAGATGGAAGCAAAAAAGTTCCAAAACACAATTCAGTTGCACACTTCCTAGCTGCTCTGACAAGATGGAAGCAAAAAAGTTCCAAAAGACAATTGGGTTGCACCCTTCCTAGCTGCTCTGACAAGATGGAAGCAAAAAAGTTCCAAAACACAATTGGGTTGCACCCTTCCTAGCTGCTCTGACAAGATGGAAGCAAAAAAGTTCCAAAAGACAATTGGGTTGCACCCTTCCTAGCTGCTCTGACAAGATGGAAGCAAAAAAGTTCCAAAACACAATTCAGTTGCACACTTCCTAGCTGCTCTGACAAGATGGAAGCAAAAAAGTTCCAAAAGACAATTGGGTTGCACCCTTCCTAGCTGCTCTGACAAGATGGAAGCAAAAAAGTTCCAAAAGACAATTGGGTTGCACCCTTCCTAGCTGCTCTGACAAGATGGAAGCAAAAAAGTTCCAAAAGACAATTGGGTTGCACCCTTCCTAGCTGCTCTGACAAGATGGAAGCAAAAAAGTTCCAAAACACAATTCAGTTGCACACTTCCTAGCTGCTCTGACAAGATGGAAGCAAAAAAGTTCCAAAAGACAATTGGGTTGCACACTTCCTAGCTGCTCTGACAAGATGGAAGCAAAAATGTTCCAAAAGACAATTGGGTTGCACCCTTCCTAGCTGCTCTGACAAGATGGAAGCAAAAAAGTTCCAAAAGACAATTGGGTTGCACCCTTCCTAGCTGCTCTGACAAGATGGAAGCAAAAAAGTTCCAAAAGACAATTGGGTTGCACCCTTCCTAGCTGCTCTGACAAGATGGAAGCAAAAAAGTTCCAAAAGACAATTGGGTTGCACACTTCCTAGCTGCTCTGACAAGATGGAAGCAAAAAAGTTCCAAAAGACAATTGGGTTGCACCCTTCCTAGCTGCTCTGACAAGATGGAAGCAAAAAAGTTCCAAAAGACAATTGGGTTGCACCCTTCCTAGCTGCTCTGACAAGATGGAAGCAAAAAAGTTCCAAAAGACAATTGGGTTGCACCCTTCCTAGCTGCTCTGACAAGATGGAAGCAAAAAAGTTCCAAAAGACAGTTTGACAGCTAGGAAGTGTGCAATTGGGTTGTACCCTTCCTAGCTGCTCTGACAAGATGGAAACAAAAAAGTTCCAAAAGACAGTTTTGACAGCTAGGAAGTGTGCAATTGGGTTGCACACTTCCTAGCTGCCCTGACAAGATGGAAGCAAAAAAGTTCCAAAAGATAGTTTTGACAGCTAGGAAGTGTGCAATTGGGTTGCACACTTCCTAGCTGCTCTGACAAGATGGAAGCAGAAAAGTTCCAAAAGACAATTGGATTGCACACTTCCTAGCTGCTCTGACAAGATGGAAGCAAAGAAGTTCCAAAAGACAGTTTGACAGCTAGGAAGTGTGCAATTGGGTTGTACCCTTCCTAGCTGCTCTGACAAGATGGAAGCAAAAAAGTTCCAAAAGACAGTTTTGACAGCTAGGAAGTGTGCAATTGGGTTGCACACTTCCTAGCTGCTCTGACAAGATGGAAGCAAAAAAGTTCCAAAAGACAGTTTTGACAGCTAGGAAGTGTGCAATTGGGTTGCACACTTCCTAGCTGCTCTGACAAGATGGAAGCAAAAAAGTTCCAAAAGATAGTTTTGACAGCTAGGAAGTGTGCAATTGGGTGGCACACTTCCTAGCTGCTCTGACAAAATGGAAGCAAAGAAGTTCCAAAAGACAATTGGGTTGCACACTTCCTAGCTGCTCTGACAAGATGGAAGCAAAAAAGTTCCAAAAGACAGTTTTGACAGCTAGGAAGTGTGCAATTGGGTTGCACACTTCCTAGCTGCTCTGACAAGATGGAAGCAAAAAAGTTCCAAAAGACAGTTTTGACAGCTAGGAAGTGTGCAATTGGGTTGCACACTTCCTAGCTGCTCTGACAAGATGGAAGCAAAAAAGTTCCAAAAGACAGTTTTGACAGCTAGGAAGTGTGCAATTGGGTTGCACACTTCCTAGCTGCTCTGACAAGATGGAAGCAAAAAAGTTCCAAAAGACAGTTTTGACAGCTAGGAAGTGTGCAATTGGGTTGCACACTTCCTAGCTGCTCTGACAAGATGGAAGCAAAAAAGTTCCAAAAGACAGTTTTGACAGCTAGGAAGTGTGCAATTGGGTTGCACACTTCCTAGCTGTCAAAACTGTCTTTTGGAACTTTTTTGCTTCCATCTTGTCAGAGCAACTAGGTAACAACACTAATAACAGCAACAGTAGTGACACGAAAAGCAATAGTAGCAATAAGAGTAACAATAATAGCGATAATAGCAACATCAATACTAATAATAGCAATAGTCACATCAATAATAGTAGCAATAACAAGAGTAATAGTAGTAATGATAACATCACTAACAATATTAACAGTAATAATAAGAGCAATAGCAGTAGCAATAACAACGGTGATAGCAGTAGTAGTAATAATAGTAATAGTAGCAGGACTAATAACAATATCAATAGCAGTATAAAAATAGCAACAATACTAGCAATAACACTAGACGTAGTAGTAATAACACCAAAAACAATATTAACACTAATAAGAGTAATAGTAGCAATAACTGATAGTAGTAGTAGTAATAGCAATAGTCACATCAATAATAGTAGCAATAAGAGTAATAGTAGTAATAATAACACCACTAACAACAATATTAACAGTAATAATAAGAGTAATAGCAGTAGCAATAACAACAGTGATAGTAGTAATAATAGTAGTAGCAATAATAGCAATATCAATAGCAGTATAAAGATATCAACAATCATAGCAATAACACTAGGAGTAGTAGTAATAACACCAACAATAATATTAACAGTAATAAGAGTAGTAGCAGTAACAATAACTGATAGTAGTAGTAATAATAGTAAAGTAGATAGCAATAATAGCGATATCAATAGCAGTATAAAAATAGCAACAATCGTAGCAAAAACATTAGGAGGAGGAGTAGTAATAGCAACAACCAAACAATGCACTATTGCTATTTACTATTACTACTAACTGATAGTAGTAATAGTAGATAGCAATAATAGCAATATCAATAGCAGTATAAAAATAGCAACACTAGTAGCAATAGCATTAGGAGTAGTAGTAATAATAACACCAACTGTAATAATATTAATAGTAATAATAGTAATAACAGTAGCAAGAACAACAGTAATGATAGTAGTAGTAATAGTAATAATAGTAGCAACAATAATAGCAATATCAATAGTAAAAATAATAAAATAGTAGCAATAGTAATAAGAGTAGTAGTAGTAATAATAAGACCAAAAGTAATAATATTAATAGTAATGATAGTAGTGATAACAATGGTGGTGGTAGTAGTAGTAGTAGTAGTAGTAAGTAATGGATATATATTATAATAAGAGTAATAGTAGCAGCAATAATAGCAAGAACAACGGTAATAATAGTAATACATTTTCTCTCCAATAGAATACGTACCTTCAGCGCACGGGTTCTTGATCAGGTTCCGCTCCAAGCTACACAGGAAGTAGTGGATCTTCCAATCCGGAGGGGGTTTGTCCGGGTTCCTGGCGCGATACCCGCCCCGTTGGCATTTGCGCTTCCAAAGACTCGGCAGGTCGACCAAGTCCCGCCAAAGCAGACAAACCAGGCGGCAATTCCGGATTAATTCCCTCGCCGGGATCCGGATCAGGATCTCGATCAAAACGTCTTCCGGCAAGTCGCCGACGTTGGCCATCCTCTACCTCGTCCTCCGTCTAGCTGGAGGTTTCTTTTAGCAGCATCAGCATGAAAATAATAAACAAATAAATAACGCATAATAAATACACAAATAATAAATACATATAGATAACAAATAATAACGATTAATAATTAATAAGACATAATAATAAAATAAAATAAAAATACACAATAAATAAATAATAAAAATAATAATGAATAATTAATGACACGTGGCAAATAAAAATAATACGTAACAATAATAAAATAATTAAAATGTATAATTAGAAATATATAAATAATAAATACATATAGATAATAGATAATAACTAATGATTAATAACACATAAAATAAAATAATAAATAAATACACAAATAATAATGAATACATGTAGATAATAAATAATAATTAATAATAGCACATTAATAAAAAATAAAAATACACAAATAAATAAAAATAATGAATAATGAATGATACATAACAAATAAAATGATACGTAATAATACATAATAATAAAATAAAAATAATAAATATATAAATAATAAATCAATCAATACATAAAATAATAAATAAATACACAAATAAATAATAATGAATACATATAGATAATAAATAATAATAATATAAATAGAAAATAAAAATACACAAATAAATAAAAATAATAATGAATAATGAATGATACGTAATAATACATAATAATAAAATAAAAATAATAAATACATCAATAATAAATACATAAATACATAAAATAATAAATACTCAAATAATAATGAATACATATAGATAAATAATAATAACATAACTAAAAAATAAGAAATAAAAATACACAAATAAAAATAATAATGAATAATTAATGATACATAACAAGTAAAATGATATGTAATAATACATAATAATAAAATAAAAATAATAAATACATAAATAATAAATAAATACACAAATAAATAATGAATACATATAGATAATAAATAATACTTAATGATTAATAACACATAAATAAAAAATAATAAATACATAATAAATAAATAAATAATAGCTAAATAATAAATACTTTTAATAAATATTATTTTGATTAAAAACGATAAATTAATAACACATCACAAATAAATGTAGATAAATAACGAATCAATACATAATGAACGAACAATGCACCCTAAGTAATAAGTAATAAATAATAAGTAAACAATAAAATCATCGATAAGCAATAGCTAAATAATAAATACTTAAAAATATACTATTTTGCAATTACTGTATCTTGCTAATAATAATAATAATATCTATTATTTTGGATAGAAGGCATGCAAATTCAGAATGAAAGAGGAAGAGGAAGTGCAACTGAAAGCAAAGACAACCAGGAAAGAATATATATTGTCTATGACAGATCTACCTATCTTGGGGTTGGGCTAGATGGCCTTTGGGGGTCCCACCCAACAATAATATCCAATGGATCCAGCTCTATATACCTCTCCATCCCATCTTTCTCTTTATCAATGACTTTATCCATCTATGGGATACATGGGGGGTGAGTTTCCAAAGGGCTGGGTGGGGTTGACACGCGTCAGGCCATTCCCACGTGCAGAAAGGGCTTCCCTCCCTCCCTGGCCCCTCCCTTACCCAATGCAAAATCCTTTCCTGGAATTTGGGGTGGGTTTACCTTTGGGGAGTCAAGGAAAGGAGAGAGTCCCTGCCCCAAGGAGGATGCACTTTGCAAAATGGGAAACTCCCTCCCTGGGAGGAAATGCATTTGCAGGTCTTTGCAAGCAGGGACTGTAGAGCTATAGAGAAAGGTAAGAGTGATGCAACTCCCTTTTGTAAAGAGGGCACTTCCGAGTTGCCTGGCTGGGTTTTCAAAGGATGCTAGCTGGTGTGTTGCTCATTACAACATATAGATAGATAGATAGATAGATAGGCTAGATAGGCTAGATAGATAGGCTAGATAGGCTAGATAGATAGGCTAGATAGGCTAGATAGATAGATAGATAGGCTAGATAGATAGATAGATAGATAGATAGATAGGAAGACAGGATAGATAGATAGATAGATAGATAGATAGATAGATAGATAGATAGATAGATAGATAGATAGATAGATAGATAGGAACAATGATAGACAGATAAATAGGAACATAGATAAATAGGAACAGTGATAGACAGACAGATAGGAATACCGATAGATAAGTAGATAGATAGATAGATAGATAGATAGATAGATAGATAGATAGATAGATAGATAGATAAGGATTTTCATATAGATAGATATATGGTTAAGGATATGGATATAGAAGGATAGATAGATAGATGGACATAGATAAGACAGATGATAGAAATAGATAGACAGAAAGATAGATAGATAGATAGATAGAAAGATAGATAGAAAGATAGATAGAAAGATAGAAAGATAGATAGATAGATAGATAGATAGATAGATAGATTAAAAACTCTGTATTTTAACTGGAAAAATTGGGGGTCGTCTTATACGCCCAGTCGTCTTATATGCCAGAATATACGGTATATAGATTATGTTATTGACATCTATTGGACATATAGTATTATATTATTATAATTATATTATATTATATATTTATATGATATTATTGACACCTATTGGACATATACGGTATTTATGTAATATTATAATATTGACCTATATTGGTTATATAGTATAGTTATATTATATTATTATATATTATATTATATTATATTTTATATCATATTATTGACATCTATTGGACATATATTATTATTATTATATTATATTATATTATATTCCATCACAAAATCAAGCTTTTTTCAACTCATACACGCAAAACACACCGCTGTATAAATAGGTTTTAATAATATAAGGCATCAAAGTGAAAAGCACAAAAACCATTACAAACAATTAAAAATCCATTATGGACAAAATATAGTCATCCCTCCCCATTGGGATATATAGTCATCCCTCCCCATTGAAACGAATGCTGCTTGACTCTCCATTCGGACCGCCAGGGCTCAAGGCTATGGGATATTGGGAGTTGTAGTTTCCCAAGGTCTTCTGGTGTGTCTATAGTAGGCATGAGCAAACTTCGGCCCTCCCGGTGTTTTGGACTACAACTCCCACAATTCCTAACAGCCTACCGGCGTGGTTCTGATAGTAGGGCCATGAAGCAAAAACTCACAGCCCCCCCCGGTGTTGGTGAAAACTTACAACAACTCCCCACCCAACATTCACTAAAACAGGGGGCCTTTTACCGGCTGTTTTAGGAAATTGGGTGGGAGTTTGTTAGTCCCAAAAACCCACACCGGGGGAGGGGGCGGGGAAAGGGTTTTGCCCATGCCACTATAGGGGGACTATCCATTCCAGACTGGCCAGGACTTCCAAGGGGGCTATGGATTTTAATTGGGAAGGTTGGTGTTTCCAAAGATATTTTTTTTTCTGGGTGTTTGGTTCTATAATAGGGCATGGTGGGGCAAAACTTCGGGCCCCTCCCGGGTTTTTTGGGGGGACTACAAACTCCCCACGATTTTTCCTAAACCGAAGCCTACCAGCTGTTAGGGAATTGTGGGGGAAGGTGTCGTAGTCCCAAAAACACCGGGGAGGCCAAAGTGGGTTTTTGGGGCCCCACGCCTGTTCTATAGCTATCTAAGAGGGGGATACCCCAGTCATGTTTCCAAATTTCCTTCAAAGTTCTCCTGGGATGTTGTAGTTTTCTCCACTTTCTTCGGGGCCTTGGGGGGGGGGAATAACCTACCACAAACATCCCAGAGGCGCTTCCAAATCGTGATTTGTAAGCCACGGGGAGGGGGCGGACCAAGAGATTCTTATTGAACAAACGGCAGGGAAGCGGGGGGGACCTTTTTTGGGTTGAAAAAAAGGGTGTGGTGGCCAAGGTCAGGGTGGTGAAGGTGGTGGCAGCGGTGGTGGCGGTGGTGGCGGCGGTGGTGGCGGCGGTGGTGGTGGTGGTGGCAGCAGCTTCCTTTTGGGTCTCTTCGCGATCAATGGTGACACTGGTGCCGGTGATTTTGACAAAAGTCCTTGCTTCCACTTCATGCTCCAGATCAATGTGACGGATGCCGGTAGGATAACCCTCGAAAGTGTGGGAAAGCTGGAAATATGAAATACATATCAAACACAAAGGAAGGTGTGAATCCCCAGATCATCAATTATGGCGGAGTCTCCTTCTTCGGAGGTTTCGAAGCAGAGGCTGTTTGGCCATCAGTCGGGAGGGTTTCAATGGTGTCATATGGATTCGACAACTGCCATAGGGTTCTCAGTAACCTTCTATGCTGGCAGTGTCTACAATCACTACCTTTAGGTTTTGGTTTTTGCACCTTTGTCTGATATGGAACCGGACACTTGAGTTAATCCTTCTTCTTTCTTCTTTCTCTACCTGATTCTTTTCTCGCTTCCTTTGCTCTTTCACTCCCCCCTTCCTTGTCTCTTTCCTTCCTTCCATACACCCTTTCCCTCTCTTTTCATTTCTTCCTTCCTCCCTCCTTCTGTTGTTTTTCTCAAACACCCCTTCTCTCTCCTTTCTTTCCTTCCTTCCCTTGCTTCCTTTATACATCCTGCCCTGCTCTTTTCTTTCCTTCTTTCCATGCTTCCTGCTTTCCCTTGTTTCCCCCATACACTTTCCCTCTTTTCCTTCCCTCTCTTTTCTTTTTCCCCTTCTTTCCCTTCCTTCTTCCTTCTTTCTTCTTTCCCTTCTTTCCTTCCTTCCTTTTCTCTTCCTTTCTTTCTTTTTTTTTTTTCTTTCTTTCTCCTTCCCTTTCCTTCTTTCCTTGGGCTTCCTCTCCTCCCTTTCCTTTTCTCTTCCTTTCTTTCCTTCTTCTTCCTTCCCTCCTTCTTTCCTTCTTTCCTTCCTCTTTCCTTCCTTTTCCTCTCTTTTCTTCTTTTCTTCTTTTTTCTCTCCTTCCCCTCCTTTCCTTCTCCCCTTCTCCTTCTCTCCTTCTCCTTCTTCTTTTTCCTTCTTTCTTTTTCCTTCCTTCTTCCTTTCCCTCTCTTCTTTTCCTTTCTTCTTTCTTTCCTTTCTTCCTCCTTTCCTTTCTCTCCTTCTTTTCTTTTTCCTTTCTTTTCCTCTCCCTTCCCTCCCTCTCTTCTCCTTCCTCCCTTTTTCTCCCTCCCTTCCTTTCTTCCTTTTTATTTCCTCCCTTTCCTCCCATCTTTCCTTCTTTGTCTTTCCCTCCCCCCTTCACTTTTTCCCTTTCTTTTTTTTTCCTCCTTCCTTTCCTCCCTTTTCTTCCTTTCTTTTTTCTTCTCTCCTTCCTTTCCTTCTCTCCTTTTTCTCTCCTCCCTTCCTTTCCTTTCCCTTTCTTTTTTTTTCCTTCCTTTCTCTCCTTTCCCTCCCTTCCTTTTCCCCTTCTTCCTTTTCCTTCTTCCTTCTCCCCTTCCTTCCTTCCTCCTCCTTTTCCTTCTTCTTTCTTCTCTCCCTTCCTCTCCTCCTTCCCCTCCCTTCCTTCTCTCCTTCCTTCCTTTCCCTTTCTTTTTTTTCCTTCCTTCCTTTCTTCCTTCCCTCCTTCCTTTCCCTTCTTTCTTCTTCCTCTTCCTCTCCCCTCCTTCCTTCTCTCCTTCTTCCTTTTCTTTCCTTTTTTCTCTCCTTCCCTCCTTCCTTCCCCTCCTTTTCTCTCCCTTCCTTCCTTTCTCCCTTTCCTTTTTTCCTTTCTTCTCTCCTTCCCTTCCTTCTTTTCCCCCTTCTTTTTCTCTTCCTCTTCCTTTCCTTCCTTCCTCTACCTTTTTCCTTCTTTTCTTTCTTCTCATCCTTCCCTCCTTTTCCTATCCTCCCTTCCTTTCTTCTTCTTCTTCTCCCCTCCTTTTTCCCTCTCTTCTCCTTCCCTCCTTCTTCTCTTCTTTCTTCCTTTCCTTTTTCTCCTTCCTTCTCTACTTCTTTCTTTTCTTCTTTTCTCTCCTTTCCCCTCCTTTCCCCCTCCTTCTCTCCTTCCTTTTTCCCTTTCCCTTCTTTTTTCCCCTTCCTTTCTTTTCTTTTCCTTCCCCTTCTTCCCTTCTTCTCTTCCTCTTTCCTCCCTTCCTTCTCTACCTTTATCTTTTCTTCTTTCTCTCCTTCCCTCCTTCTCTCCCTCCTTCTCTCCTTCCTTCCTTTGTCTGATATGGAACCGGACACTTGAGTTAACCAGAGACTCATCAGCATATCCACAACACCGTTTCCTCGTGGACCGTTTCCTCTATAACCGATTGGTTCCTCGAAATTCAGAAGGCTTTCAAAAAATAAATAAGTTCATGAAGTGACCTCGGGCAAATAACGAGATTCTTCTCTTTTTATTCTTTAATGTCTACTTCAGCTCCAGAAATGCACAATGTCAACGTTGCTAAAGGTTCCACTATGGACCTAGCAGCAGCTGTACCCAGGGGCGGCTCGTCCATTACGCGAAGTAAGCGGTCGCAGAACATTTTTTTTTTGCCAGGGGCGCAGAGGCGCCTCTGTAAATGCCCCTCGACCGCCACTTGAGGAGTGCCCCCTCAGCTCACAACAGCCCTAGCAGTCCGGGGGGAGCCTCGGCTTTCTTGCCTCGCTGCCGGGCGATCCTCTTCCCAAAGGGGCCGGGTCCTTGAGCCTCGCCTAGCCCCTCTCGTTCCTGCTCCTAGCCCCTCTCGTTCCTGCTCCACCCGGCCACCCGGTGCGCGAGCAGAGCCGGCGCTCAATCGTTCTCCGCGTTCGATCCCTTCCCCATGACCGGCTCCCTTTCCCGATCCCCCGGCATTCCACCCGCCTCCTCTCCTCTCCCCAATCCACGGGTGGGCCAAGGGGCGGAGCCACCGTGCCTGGCCCGCTTCGGGTCCGGAGGCGTGTCTGAAGACCCCAGCGTGCGCACCAAAAGTCGCCTCTTCTCCTGACTTTCTCTTCAGCCATTGGGACCAAGAGAGAGAGAGAGAGAGAGAGCCCCTCCGGCTGGAGGTATCTCCCACCTCCGCTCCCTCCTTTGTTTTTGCGCCTACCTTCAGGAAAGGTGGGCATCTCCACCTCTCTCTCTCTCTCTCTCTCTCTCCCTCTTGGTCCCAATGGCTGAGGAGAAAGTCAGGAGAAGAGGTGACTTTTGGTGCACACGCCGGGGTCTTCAGGCACGCCTCCGGACCCAAAGCGGGCCAGGCAAGGGATGAAGAAGGGCAAATGCGGCCAAAGGCCAAGTGGCCAGTTGTGACTGGGATGTATAGTTTTCTCCTTACCCAATTCAAAGAGGCCACTCTGAAAAAAAACAACTTCCACCAAAATTGATGGAATTTGAAACATCTTTGTAAACTAAAACCCAGAAACCTCCCCACGCACCAAAAAAAACACCAAACAGAAAATATATATCAATGATTGGTTGGGGGGGGGCGCCAAAATACTGTTTGCTTACCGTTGAAAATTACCTAGGGCCGCCTCTGGCTGTACCCCACGAACTCTACAGTATCAAACCCTTTAATAAATTGTATCAATTTGATGATTATGGAATAATTTGCATAGTCACAGAGAGGTGGTTACATTTTGATACATAAATTAGAAACGGTTTATTCACTTCACATAAAAAATAAACAATTTCTAATTTATGTATCAAAATGTAACCACCTCTCTGTGATCCAGTTTGCAGGATCCCTCTAGCCATTTCCCAAGCCAGGTAACCATCAGAACTAGTGTATGTCTTTCTTTTGATTCAAATATATATATATATATATATATATATATATATATATATATACACACACA